CCTTAAAGCCAGGGACTTAACTGAAGCTGCTCCTAATGGAAAAATTTATCTGCTTTAGAGCCAGAGACCAGGTCTCTTCCACAAGAGACATCTCCATCAGCAGTCTCAGATCAAGGGCTTCAATCACCTTTGAAATACAGGTACCCTATAAAGCACAGGCTTCCAAATTCTCCCCAGAGACAACAAGTGAAGAAAATCATTCTCCAGGCAAGAAATATGCCTCAGTACCAATGATACTGTCCACCATTGGACTGAGACACACTTGGAACATCAGCCATGCAGATGTCCCTTTGGGCAAAAGCAAGAGTTTTCAGATCCTACCTCTGGTGCACAAGCAAAGAAATAGCCTTTTAGCTTATCCCCACTGGCGCTGTCACCAAAGAAGTTGGCACTGGCTCTTGTCCTCCTCTTAGGAGGTTACCAGTGCTTACTAAGAGCTATTGAAGAGTGTGGTCTCCGACCTTAATCTACAGGTGGAGGATCTTGGGAAATTCTCGGACTCCAGTGTGATCTGTGCTTTGGCACCTTCCAGAATGGCCTTGCCGCTTCATAAAGGGATGGCAAAGATTACTGAAACACTGTGGCAAACTCTATCTTCCCTAGGCTCTCTCTCCAAGAGGGCAAAACAGAAATATTTTGTGCCCTCCAAGGACTACGAATATGTATATTCCTATCCTGTCCCTAACTTTCTGGTGAAAATAATAAATCACAGAGAGCATCAGGACGAACCCGCAGCTATCCTTTAAAATAAGGACTCCACGAGACCAGAGTTTTTGGTAGCAAACTTCATTCATCATTCAGTTTCCAGATCAGGGTGGCATGCCATCAGACCCTCCTGGGGCAGTATGGTTTTTACTTGTGGCAGAATAAGTCCCAAGTTTAAAAGCTCCCTTCCTGAGACTGATAGGAAGTATATGGCCCTCCTGGAGGAGAGTACTTCAAGTGCCAGGGCAGCTCTGCAGGCAGCTTTGGCCTCAGCAGTTTCAGTGCACGAAGTGTCATGACTTCTTAGTAGAGGCCCAAAATCACTGTAGGATCTCCCATTTGATGGGAAGGATCTGTTTGCTGAACAGACAGATGTCAAGCTCCTTAGACTTGAAGACTCACGTGTGACATTGAAGACACTCAGTCTCTAAGGATATGTCTGCACTACAGAGAAGATCAAAGCTGCTGCTGTCAATTTTCCAGGGCTTGAAATACTGGATCTAGTGAAGAAATGCTCTTTTGAACTGAGAGGGGCCCTCCTATCAATGCTGGTAACCCTGCTTCCACAAGGAGTAAGGGAAGTTGAAGGGAGAGCATGCTCCCTCTGACTTCCTGCAGTTTGTACAGCATCAAAAGTCAAGTTAAGGTACTTAGACTTCAGCTACACAGTTAATGTAACTGAAGTTGCATATCTTAATTGGACCTTATCCTGCAGTGTAGACATACCCTTAGACCCTTTCCCAAAGGCCTCATACCCAGGGAGTCACCCCTGCCGGGAGCCTTCGCACAAGTCGTACAGGGGCTATAAGAAGGGCTCCTTTCTCCAGCCTCAGCCAGCCTCGCAGCCTGGTCCCTCCAAGGGCAAGTATGCTAGCAAGTGCCTATTTTGATGGGATGCTTGGGGTGACTTGCCCACTTTGCACAGTGGATCCAGATCTCCTCTCCCCCTCTCCCTTTCTTCAGCCACCATTCCCAGTTTTTCCCACTGTAGGCATTGATAACTTCGGACTACTGAGTCCTTAATGTCCTATCTGGAGGCTATCCCTCCAGTAACTTTCAACTACCCCTACCTATCTATCTCACAAGCATTTTCTCAAACAGGAGGTGCAATAGATCCTACAGCTGGGGGGTGGTAGTGGAAGTGGTCCCTGCGTAACACAAGAACAGGGGCTTCTACTCTTATTATTTCCTTTACCCCAAGGCCGAGGGGGAACTCAGGCCCATTCTGGATCTGTGAAACCTAAACTGTTGCATGGCTAAAGTTGCACACAGACTTTCAGGCTTTGATCATCCCTTCCCTGGAGATTGGTACAACTCCCTCTGTCTTCCAGACATGTGTTTCCATATTCCCATCTTCGAGGGCCACAGGAGCATCCCCTGCTTCATGGTAGAGCTAGAATAATACCAGTTTATGGTCCTTCCATTTAGCCATTGGCAATGCATAAGGTTTTCACCAAATGCTTATTGGTAGAGGCAGCTTACCTGAGATGTCAGGGTGTCCAGGTCTTCCTGTACCTCGACAACTGGCAGGTCAAGGACAGCTCCAGGTCTCAGGTACAGAGTTACGGGATGTTCCTGCTGTCCATGTGCCACACTTTAGATCTTGGTAAAGGACAAGAAATCCACATACCAGTACAGATGATAGAGTTAATCAGGGCAGTTCTCAGTGCCTTGACCTCCAGGGCGTTCCTACTAATGGAATGGTTCAGAGACCTAACAAACCTCATCAGCAAGTTCTCCAGGTTCCCTATGACCAAGTATCAGAGGGGTAGCCGTGTTAGTCTGAACCTGCAAAAGCAGCGAGGAGTCCTTTGGCACCTTATAGACTAACCGAAGTGTTGGAGCATAAGCTTTCTTGAGTAGAGACTCACTTCGTCAGATGCATGAAGTGGAAATTTCCAGAGGCAGGTATAAATATGCAGGCCAGAATCAGACTAGAGAACTACACATACAGCCTGGCAGAAGAGTCTGTTCTATCTCGGGGACTCTCTTTTTTCCCATCACCCCCACTAACGTGATACAGGTTCTGCGGTGATCTGGAAGCCTACTTTCACTGTCTCTGTCTTAAGGAATACTTCCAACACAGCACTGAACAATGCACTGACACACACATACCTTCCCACCAACAACACAAGACTCCTGAGGGTCGAAATGACAGTCTGGACCTCTGTATAGAATGCTTCCGCCGACGTGCACAGGCAGAAATTATGGAAAAACAGCATCACTTGCCTTCTAACCTCAGTCGTGCAGAACGCAATGCCATCCACAGCCTCCGGAACAAGTCTGACATTGTAATCAAAGAGGCTGATAAAGGAGGTGCTGTTGTCATCATGAACAGGCCTGACTACCAAAAAAGGAGGCTGCCAGACAACTCTCCAATACCAAATTCTACAGGCCACTTTCCTCAGATCCCACTAAGGAATACACTAAGAAACTGTACCATCTGGTCAGGACACTCCCCACACAAGCGCAGGAACAAATCAACACACCATTAGAGCCCCGACCAAAGTTGTTCTATCTATTACCCAAGATCCACAAACCTGGAAATCTCAGACATCCCATCATCTCGGGCATTGGCACTCTCACTGAAGGACTGTCTAGCTATGTGGACACTCTACTCAGACCCTACACCACCAGCACTCCCAGTTACCCCCGTGACACTACTGATTTCCGAAGAAAACTACAATGCATTGGTGATCTTACAGAAAATACCATCCTAGCCACCATGGACGTAAAGGCTCCCTACGCAAACATCCCACATGTAGATGGAATACAAGCTGTCAGGAACAGTATCCCTGATGATGCCACAGCACAACTGGTGGTTGAGTTCTGCAACTTTATCCTCACACGCAACTATTTCAGATTTGGAGACAGTATATACCTCCAGACCAGTGGCACTGCTATGGGCACCCGCATGGCCCTACAGTACGCCAACATTTTTATGGCTGACTTAGAACAACGCTTCCTCAGCTCTCGTCCACTTACACCCCTTCTCTACCTACGCTACATCGATGACATCTTCATCATCTGTACCCATGGGAAGGAGACTCTGAAAGAATTTCACCACGATTTCAACAACTGATTGATCCCCACCGTCAACGTCAGCATGGACCAGTCTACACAGGAGGTCCATTTCCTGGACACCACAGTGCAAATAAGTGACGGTCACATAAACACCACCCTATACCGAAAGCCTACCAACCGCTATGTTTACCTGAATGCCTCCAGCTTCCATCCCAGACACACCACAAGATCCATTGTTTACAGCCAAGCACTGAGGTACAACCACATATGCTCCAACCCCTCAGACAGAGACCTACACCTACAAGATCGTCAGCAAGCATTCTGTAACTATGATACCTACACGAGGAAGTGAGGAGACAGATTAACAGAGCCAAACATGTACCCAGAAGCCTCCTGCTACGGGACAAGCCCAAAAAAGAAACCAGCAGAACACCACTGGTCATCACCTACAGTCCTCAGCTAAAAGCTCTCCAACACATCATTAGTGATCTACAACCCATCCTGGACAATGATAAAGTTTGACACAATCAACTCAGGATTAAACAAAGACTGTGAATGGCTAGCTAACTAAAAAGCAGCTTCTCCTCTCTTGGTATTCACACCTCCAGATCAGCTACTAGAAGTGGGCCTCATCCTCCCTGATTGGATCCACCTCGCCATCTCTAGCCTGATTCTGGCCTGCATATTTATACCTGCCTCTAGAAATTTCCACTACATGCATCTGACGAAGTGGGTCTTTGCCCATGAAAGCTTATGCTCCAACACTTCGGTTAGTCTATAAGGTGCCACAGGACTCTTTGCCCCTGTGACCAAGGGTCTCAGACTCCTGGCCCGTGGGCCATCCCTGGCCAGAGCAACTGCGCAATCCAGCTCAGGACTCCTGGTGGCTTGAGTTGCTGGTAGACATTACAGGCCCACAAACTTTGCCTTCTCTCTCCTGCCCTGTCCCTCGATGACCCGGCATCAGGGATCACCATGGGGGGGCCTGGCACCCTGTAGTAGCAGCAGTTGCATCCCTCCTCATTCCCAGTGGTGGCAGGAACTACGATTTTCTATTGAAGGTATTGTTAAATATATGTATATGTATTGATATTTATGTTGAAGATAATTATGATTGTGAGAAGAGTGCACTCATGCTAACAAATTCTAAGGGGAAAAAAAGGGATACATGTTGAGAGACTTTCCTCTGTTCCCCTGAAATATTTGGAATATAAATATGTACACATATACATATACATATATAAGTTTTCAGATTTCTTGTTCTGTTACAGGATGTCATTAAGGCTGCAATAATGGAAGAACAAAAACAAAGTGAAAAGGCTGTGGAAGAAGCTGTGAAAAGAACAAGAGAGGAATTGATGGAGTATGTCCAAGAGCAGAAGAGGGTAGGTGTCACTCATGAATTTATATCTTCAGACACTGTTATGCAAGTGTCTAGAGTTACATGAAAATACGTTTTAAATTGTAATAAATACTCTTAGTTCAATTTGTATACCTTTGATTTTGCACATCTACTTTTGGATAGTTTATCTGGCATAATAATATATCCTGTTATGCACATTTTCAAAATTTCAATTCTATCAGAAGGCAAGAAGTACAGCAATAAATACATTGATTAAAATACACAGTATTTATTACGAAAATTATGAGGTTTGGACAGACATACAGACAATTGTATCTCACTATCGGCAGTTAAGTTCAACTCATTAATAAGTTCAGTAAGCGTAGCATATTGTATTTTATCACTATACATAAAATCATTGTTCTGCGGATTGTGCATGCAACAAATTCCCTAACTGTTCAATTGCTTATTCTCTTGTGTGTAATAAGAGACTGTCAGGTATTATGTCTACATTGTCAGACACCATTCTGAAAATGTATTATGTTGAAAAAGTTAATGTACCAAGACTATAAACATTTAAAGGCCTGCTCCTATTGAAGTCAGGAGAATTTTATCATTTATTTCAGTAGCAGCAAAATGAGGACTTATCTGGAGAGAAGTCTATTCTAGATGGATAAATTCATTTCCAAGGGGGGCAAATATTTTCACCATTGCTTTCATCCATGGGTCGAAGGAAAGACCGTTTTGAATTCTTGTAGTGATGGTTCAGAGGAACCATACCTGGAAATGCTATTTGGAAATCCAAAAACAGTGTGTACCCTAACTACACTGCTTCCCGCTCAATACAGTCCAGTTTTTAGGTTTTGCTCGATATCTGAAAGTCTTTTGGGGGCCTAATATGACCTGAGGCTTCACCTCAATCAAACCCTGTAATTTTAGAACTTTGGAAACATAAATAAAACATAATGCTTGAACCTAACTGATAACAAATCCATATTTCTTGGTGAAAGAGAGCATGTGTTTCATCTTTTAGTTTCGTGGCCAGCAAAGGCTGGCAGTAGTGTGCAAATTCAGAGTTTCTTTTAACTTCAAGAGTAGTACCTGCTGATCAGTCCAAGAGCAGTATTGGAAGAGTTCTCTGTCATTATGGTTATTGCTGGCAGTTAGTTTTAACAATAGTGAGCTTGTTGAAATGAAAGGTGAGATGGACACAGAATGGCTAACCTAGTGAGGAGGGCTTTAAACTAGGTTTGACGGGGACAGGTGAGCAAAGCCCCCACAGGTAAGTGGAGAACATGGGGACCTGGGAGATGGGTCGGAAATGGGAGGGAGCATGGGCTACAATGGCAGAGAGAAAGGAGGGTCAGGGCAAAACTGGGAGGCAAGATCAAATCAGGATCTTAGATGCCTAAATACAAATGCGAGAAGTATGGGAAATAAGCAGGAAGAACTGGAAGTGCTAATAAATAAGTACAATTATGACATTGTTGGCATCACAGAAACTTGGTGGGACAATACACACGATTGGAATGTTTCTATAGAAGGGTACAGCTTGCTCAGGAAGGGTAGACGGAAAAAAGGGAGGAGGTGTTGCCTTATACATTAAAAATGAACACACTTGGAGTGAAGTGGAGATGGACATAGAAGACGGAAGTGTTGAGAGTCTCTAGGTTAGGCTAAAAGGGATTAAAAACAAAGGTGATGTCATGCTAGGAGTCTACCACAGGCCACCTACCCAGGTGGAAGAAGCTTTTTTTAAACAACTAACGAAATCATCCAACGCCCAAGATTCGGTGGTAATGGGGGACCTCAACTATCCAGATATATGTTGGGAAAATAACACTGCGCAGCACAGATTATCAAGGAGGAAGGAGAAAACTTGTTCATCTTGGCCTTTGGGGATAGAGCAAGAAGCAATGGGCTTAAACTGCAGCAAGGGAGGTTTAGGTTGGACATTAGGAAAAAGTTCCTAACTGTCAGAGTAGTCAAACACTGGAATAAATTGCCCACGGAGGTTGTGGAATCTCCATCTCTGGAGATATTTAAGAGTAGGTTAGATAAATGTTTATCAGAGATGGTCTAGACAGTATTTGGTCCTGCCATGAGGGCAGGGGACTGTTCTTGATGACCTCTCAAGGTCCCTTCCATTCCTAGTATTCTATGATTCTGTGATAGTAAGGTGAGCTGAGCTGTCTTCAATAAAATTCTCACTGTCAGCAACAATTGGTGGTGGTTCAGAAAATATGGCCTTCTGGAAACAAATCTAATCAAAGCCATATCCAGCAGAAAAATTAAAAATATGCATAAAATAGTTAAATGTCTGGATCAAAAGTAAAAGTTTACTAAAAATCTTATACATGTCTTCTATTGAGTTCTCGTATATTTCCCTGTTCTTCATGAAGAGACTCAGGGGCTTTCCATCTTATTTACCGGTGCAAGGAGGGAGGGCACGTGGCTCTCGTACACCCTCCCATGTTAGAGGGGAGGGAGCGTGGCTCCTGGACCCCCCTTCTTCCCTCGTGGGAGGGAGGAGGTGCAACTCCAAGCCCCTCCCCAGAGCACCAGAGAAGCCCCCTTCCCTCCCCTCCTGGAGCTCCGGGGAGACCAAGGACACCATGTGGTTGCCACCCTATGTCCTGGAGCTCTGGGGAGTTTGGAGAAGCTGTATGACTCCCTCCCTCCCCCCACAAAGCTTTGGGGAGACCAGGGAATCCATGTGGCTGCCACTTGCCCTCAGTATCAGCTGCCACTTGCCCTCAGTATAAGTAGGGAGGGGTTGCAGGATGCAGAGTGACGCAATCACGTCTCACTGTCCTGCAGGGAAAATTTTTTTATATGTATAGAAAGATATTGAAATTTTAGACAAATCAGGGCATACTTGTTTTTCTATCTCTTCTTGTCCTTTTTGTTATCTTTTCTTCTAAATATTTTCAGTTTCTTTATTTGATCTTCCTCTGAAGTGATTGAGATAAATGGAAAGTTTATTTTCTTCCCTTTGTCTTTGTAATCCTTCACCCTTCCATGAAAAAGCTATGTTCTTTCTTATATTTTATAATTCTTGAGAACATACTCTGTTGCAAAACAGAGCTAAGGAAAGTTAATACATCTAGTAGTTATTAAAAAATCTAAAATCATGTTGTTGAAACATGTTTTTCACTTTAGGATATCACTGATATTTTACAAAAGCGGCGAGGAGTCCTGTGGCACCTTATAGACTAACTGAAGTGTAGAAGCATAAGCTTTCGTGGGCAAAGACCCACTTTGTCAGATGCATGCATCTGACATGCATCTCACGAAGTGGGTCTTTGCCCACAAAAGCGTATGCTCCTACACTGCAGTTAGTCTATAAGGTTCCACAGGACTCCTCGCCGCTTTTGCAGATTCAGACTAACACAGCTACCCCTCTGATACTGATATTTTATTACGTGTACTCTGAACACGGCTATGAAGACCAGTGATGCAACTGGAGCTGATAATGGCTATCAGTTTTGGAAAATTATGAATTGGTGATTGTATTGCCATGCATATGTGATATACCATATGGAAGAATGCAGTTACTTTTAGGTGCATACGAGATACACATATATAGTTTATAGATGGTAATGCACATTTTATATATAATTTCAGTCGTATTACATCTAGATGAAAAAAAGAAGAAATCACGAGAAGGATGCTGTTTGTTATGTAAACCAAATGTAACTGGACAATAATGTCTCTGAATCAAGGCAAAGTTTTAAATATAAGACAAGAAAATTCAAATGCATCTAATCCTTGAAATACTTATCAAGGAGGCAATGAAAATGATATCCTTGACAGAATCAATGCTTCCTTAAATTTAAATCTTTTGTAAACAGAATTTCCATTTATTCCATAATGAATTCCAGTATTGAATGTCGAAATGCTTTGTATAAGTAGATTTTTTGTTTGTTTTACTATAAACCAGTTGCCTTACATGCGTAGACTGAAAGGATACTGCTAGGCAGGCTTAGGTGTTCCTGGTGCAAGATTTGTGAAATCTGTCTGTGTTGCCATTCAAATTGGAAAATGTGTCTAACACCAAATAATTTGGCAAAACAAGCTTTTCAGATGGCTGTATCAGAGGTACTACATATCTCTGGTCAAATTGGAGCAATTGTCAAAATAAAAAATGTACCTTACAAATTATAGTGAATTGATATAACTTTGGGAGGGACTCCTGGAAGGGCCTTAAGGGGGAGCACAGGTTTTATTTCCATTTACTGGCTGAAGATCACTGAGATTGTTCCTATTTTTCTTTGAATATAGGGGAAGATCCGGTTCCACCCACTAATGGGTAGCATATAGTGTGTAAAAGTACACTTCCTTGCCATTTAAAAAAAATGTTTGAAGTCCTTCGAAGCAGAGGACGTGGGCATACCCATGTTTCCTCTTGGTTACCAATGATTAAGTGTTTCAGGGGAAAAAAAACATAAATAGAATTTTGTTCAGAAGCATCAGCTTATTTTGAAATTCCGTGAAATACATTTCTTTCCTTACAGTAAATTTTCTTTATAGCCAATGTTCAAAATAACTTATAACTCACAGCTGGACATATTGGGTTTGTTGTTGTTGTTGTTGTTCCATCAATTTATGGAGTTCACTATAAGCAGCTAAAAAAATCTAAGAATTATAGAACTCATAAATGGAATCGTGAAAAAGTTTTTGCATTTGTTCACCAAGCAGTAGTAATAGCAGCCCAGAACTGTGTGTCAACTTGAAGTTTTAATGTTCCAAAATAGTTTTTTGCTGGTAAGTAAAACTAAAGAAGCCTTCACTTTTAACTTAATTCTCAGCAAAAACTTGTCTAGAAATCTTGAAAATCCCAGTATAATAATCATTATCCCCAAAAAACGAAAAGGAGGTCTGAGAGAAAAATCTGAAAGAAATATAGTCTTTTGTTATTATGAACATGTTACAACATTTAAGTCAGAAAGCTGGTTTTAATTTAAAATATAAAAAATCCTTTGTTTAAATTTGTATAGTAATTTTCAATATTAAGAGCCTTATAACTGTTCTCACTCACAT